ATCGTCGATTTTGCATATGTCAGCGTAACACCCCTGGCTCCGCTCATGTAGATAAAAATCAACTGCGGTCTTAGCCCAAAGGGTATTATCCATAATTGTGTCCGGTAGTGTTCTCCTCTCCTGCTGAGAAATGGTACTAGCCGGTAACTCATGCGAAAGCCAAATCTCATCCATCATATTGGGCACGTAAGGGGGTTTATCAATATGACGACATAGTATGCCATGTGAATCGGGCTCTTGAACGGTGGGAGGGACCTCTTGAACGATGAGAGGGGCCTTTTGAACTGTGGGATGGGCCTCTTGAACGATGAAAGGGGCCTCTTGAATGATAGGAGAGGCATCTTGAACGATGACAGGTGAATCGGGCTTCTTCTTACGGAGTCTTGGAACTATCGGGGTGAAAGGAGACGTAATGGCATGTGCACGACGTCTGATGTGTGAACCCCGTCATGCAAGAAAAACCCGACGTAAAGCATTTACCTAATCGGGCCGCTAAAAATAAATTAACACATAAATCAATAAATAAATATATAAATAATGCCGAAAAAGGTTATTTGCATTTTTAGTATAGTATTAAACAAACTTACCTCATTGCGTAGAGTATGAATCTCATTCTGCAACGATGAAACCTCATGTAGAGCGACTACCTCATCACGTAAAGTAGATACCTCACCACGTAAAGCATCATTGTCATCGCGTAAAACATCTATCTCACCATGTAAAGACTGTACCTCATTACACCATGCACCATTGTCGTCACGTAAAGTACTGAACTCATCACACAAAGCACTGACCTCATCACGTAACTCCCCTAACTCATCCCGTGGAGGTAGAGAACGGGGAGATAAATGTCGTGGCATCTTTGCGACCGCCTATCATGAGATGATGGTGGAGAAGAGGCTCGATGATGCGATGGAATAGGTGATGGCTCTCGGTGTGGAGGTGCATAATCGGCTCAATCAGGTGATGGCTCTCGAAGTGGGGGGTGCTCATCATCCGTCCCATCAAAAGAACGCTTACTAGCTTGCCACCAATCAGTGGCAAGCTCAGCCTCTGTAATGGATAGTTTGCCTCCTAACAATATAAAAGCTCAAAAAAAGTCAAACGTCTACTAGTAATAACCAAATTTATATATGGTAGTATTTGTGTTAACTTACATCATTCATCGTCGTATATGGTAGTAAATCTTCCCAATCCAGCAGCCGGATCCTCCTCCAGGTAATAGCCCTAGGAATATCATTTGATTTTTTGATCGCATATGTTCGTATACTGGGAAAAGCCTCAAATATCCAAATCTACAAACAATATAATACACAAACATTAATTTTTTTAGTAATTGTTAAATTTAATTATAATTTTGGAAATATTATATAGAAATTCTTACCTTAAAGGCCCAAATAAAGCCTACCAAAGTGTATTTGGAACCATGGCCATGTAAACTACGACGATCCTCAAAGGCAGATGACAACTTTTTCCAGGTAGCTTTCCATAGATATAAACCCCACGGAAACACATTCCATGCATTTAGGTCCTCTACCAATAATATTAAGTCCTCAGAAATAGGTTATCTGGCCTCTTTGCCTAAAACGTCGGCATTCAAAAGTAATAAAAGGCATACTCGGACAACATCAAGGTCATCCATCCGAGTAAAACCATCTTTAAGAAGTAATCTTTTCAAGTTGTCGACGTTAAACTAGGCTTCGCCTTTGCCAGCTCAGGAAAAACCCGAAATAACCATGATGGGCTGGCGATATGACTAGTGTACCGACCTACTTCATCGTGTCCGAAACATAGACCAGTTATTAAGCAAAACTCCTCCCGCCCAAAACAAGTATACGCCTGTGGAAAATGAAACCATATCTCTTCATCACCACGTTGTATCCTCTCGGGTAGATCGTTAGTCATGGTCTGAAGAAATAAATGGGTTAACATAGCATCTCCACCTGGATGTTGTACTTTCAGCCATGGCCCGAAGCAAGTATCCTCAAACAATTTTCTTTGTACAGGTGTAAGTGTCGACGCAATTGTAGTGGCTAGGCTTAATTTATTCCTTAAAGTTAATGAAGCCGAAAAAAATTCCTAACAAAAAACAATAATAACATACCAAGTTAGATATACCAAAAACATACACTATAAATAGACATGATATTAAACAGTGAAAACAAAGCCAAATATGTTTCAAATTAGCATGGTATTCACCCAAGTCATTATTCTATCATAGTTCATAAAATGCATTAGATAACATTCCAGAAGTAAGAACTTATATAAACATTTAAAAGGACAACATATAGGTTTAGTGCAAGTTCAAGGACAACATAAAGAGTAGTAGTTTATTCTTGAAATTTAAATTCACAACTCTGTAAAGTTAGTATTTGTCTTTGTTTTTTGGTTGAAGTAATGCAATTCATTCAAGTTTCAATTTGCAGAAGAATAGTCGTTTCTGAAACTTAAATTCGCAACGCGAAAATGAAAATTTCGCGTTGCGATTTTCGTGTTGCGAATTTAAGTTTCAAAAACTATTCTTCTGCAAATTGAAACTTGAATGAATTGCATTACTTCAACCAAAAGACAAAACAAAGACAAATACTAACTTCACAGGGTTAAAGACTAAACGGTTTAGCAGTATTGGCAGCAACCGAATGAATTTACTAAGCAATCTAAGTGAAATGGTTAATCTATATATTGAAATTACCAGTAAATTTACCATCAATTTAAATATGAAAAATCTAATAATAATACAAAAATTTCAAAATAAAAATAATTAAAAAACTAACACTCGGTGGTTGATTTTCCATTTGTGGCCGTGAATGGTTGTGAGGGTGGCTCTGAGAGATGGAGATAGAGGGGGGTTGCCGGATATGGGAACAGATTTTGCCGGAGATGGGGACGGATATCGCCGTAGAGAGTGAGAGATGGAGATGAGACTGAGTTGTGATTTAGGGTTTTAGGTTATGAGTTGCGATTATATTGTTTACATTTGTGTTGCGAAATTAATATTGTGTTTCGAATTCGAAAATAAAATTCGTGTTGCATAAATAAACGCGTTTTGCGAATTTGACTTCTGTGTTGCGAATTTGGAAAATCGCGTTGCGGAAAAGAAATTCGAGTTGCGAATTTCAAAACTGAGTTGCGAAATTGGAGTTCGCGTTACGAATTTGTTGGTCATTTTCGGAAATCCAAAAAAAATTGGTTACAATCGTATATTATAAGGCATTTTCGATCATTGAAGTTATTTTCTCATATATTAATGGACATAATGTCACATATCGCTTCGAAGATGACAACTACGTGATAAACTCTTCCAAAGATGAAACTTTGATAACAATGTAATAAATCCCTCTGCTAAAAGACCCCACATATACAATGGTGGATGTCTCCGTAGAATACCTCCACTTTAAACACAATGTTGGAGTAAATTTATCAAAATGTCTCAAGTGAGGTGCCCTCGCCAATCCATCGAGAGATGCCTCTTTGTAAAATGCATCCACTTTTGTAACATGAGATACATTTATGATATCCTCTATTGATAGCAACTTTTATAACATGAGATGACTACTAATGGTAGCATAGTAGATCTCTTTGAATATGAATCGCTGATCACAGAGACATCTTACAATATCTCTCCACTTATTATAACGTGAGATGATTTTGTTGAGATACCCCTGTTATAATGCCACTTAGTAAGATGTCTACCCGAACAATGTGAGATTTTTCTGTAGCTTTTTTTCTCTCATTAAATGTAGTGTTGTTGTAAACTTATTGAGACATCTCTGTCTGTACAATCTGGAAATCTCTTCTTGTATAACATGAGGTCAATAAAAAATCTGTGATTCTCTACCCAAATCAGAAAAGATGAACAATCAAAAGTTATATTATGTCTTCAGAGCATGATATGAATCCCCAAATGTCATCCCGGGGTTATAGATTCCTCCACTCACATATTCGTTCAAAACCTGAGATAACTCTTCCCACATCTTTTTAGGATTATAGATTTTTCTACTCATATATTCTTTCAAAGCATGAGATGACTTCCTTGATATCTTCTTAGGGTCAGATTCCTCCACTTGTATCATGTTTTCAAAATGTGAGATGACTTTCATGATATCTTTTTAGGGTCATAGATTCATTTGCTTACATTATGTCTTAAAAGCGTGAGGCGACTCTATCGATATCTTTCCAATGTATTCTCCACTTACATCATGTCGTCTTCAAAGCATGAGATAACTCCCTCAATGTCTTTTTTAATGGTCATAAGTTCCTCTATTCCTATCATATCTTCAGAGCATAAGATGGCTTTTCTGAAGTCCTCTTAGGTTTGTAGATTCCTACCTGCATCATGTCTTCAAAGCGTGAAATGCTCCATTGACGTCTTTCTAGGGTCATATCTTCCTTCACTTATCTATTTCTCATAAAGCGTGAGATGACTTTGTTAAATACAACATTGTAACCTACTCTGCTCAATATTATGCCTTTGACGTGTGAGATGACTCCCTAATATCTTTCCAGGGTTGTATACTCTTTCGTTTTTATAGTTCTATAAAGTATGAGATGCTCCCCAAGTCTGAATATTTCTCTAAAATGATTGAAACATTCTACCGGTCTTGATGTTGAGGTTCTTCAACGCAAAATCTTTCGTCAAAATGTTGAGATATTCTACCACTAATAGCATAGAGAGACTCTTCTCCCAACATTATTAATAGTTTTCCGTCTACGTCAAAGAGATGAACCGTCACCAGCATCCAAAACCACCGATTATCCGTTGTATATCAATAAATATAAATGTGAAAATATATTAAAGGTAATTATGTTAAAGGATTCTAGTAACTAGTCTTAATTTCTTAAAAAATAAAATATATGAATTATTAATTCTATTATATGATAATTACTAAATTTTCATTGTTATCATCATAATTTTGAGATTTGTTTAACTAACTTCAGAGACATCCGAACATTTGTCTGTCAATTGTGAGTTACTGAATTATTAAATTTTAGTGCTCCAAATGCTGCAGTCCAATGACCATTGCACTTGCAACAGTGCTCCAAAGGCCGGCCGGCCGACTTGTTGGTTTATTTCATATACTGAGTTCCATTGTCAACAATCTCTGCAGAACTCCCTTATAACCTGCTACATTCCTTTACTCAGCTTCGAATTTCGATCTCTCACCATGGTTTTTCTTCACGAATTCATCGGTTTATGCATACTCGTGTTCCTAATCAATCCGATATCTTCGCTGCAATCTTATGACGAGTCGAATTGCAGTGCAACTTCACAAGTTCATGAACCAAACTACCTTTGCACCCCAAAAGATTCCCCATGCCATACTTACGTAGTTTATAGGGTTCAAAAGGATTTTCAATCAATGTCATCTATTGCATCTCTTTTCAATTTGTCCATGTCTGATCTCCTTGAAACCAATCATATGACTGAAGCTGATTCAACCGGTCTAAAGCTAAGAAAAGAAATCATCGTACCGGTTGAATGCTCGTGTTTTCGAACGATCTCTCGGTCTATCTTCGAGTACCGTATTTCTAGCAGTACCAGTTCGTTAGCTTCATTTGCTTGTGGAGTTTTTGAAGGGCTGACGAAAGTGCAAAGTCTCCAAGAAGAGAATCCAGACTTCGAACTAAATCTTGCCGGTGACTTGATGATCAAGGTACCGATTCGATGTGCTTGTCCTGATGCAAATCAAAGCAGAAATGGGGTTCAACATCTTGTAACATATCCAGTGTTAGAGAACGATCATACCGAAATAATTGCTCGGAAATTCGGAGTACCAGAAGAAATCATATGGAATGCCAATAAGATGCAATCTTTTCCGACTATTTTCCCTCTCACAACACTACTTGTTCCGAAAAAAGATGTCCCGGTACTGAATTTGGATGTCCATGAAGATTTACCCTCTGGTCCTAGAGTGGCAAGTCCGATTGAGAAAATTGAACCGAGCAAGAAATCAAAGCACTTGAGTTCATATGCAATTCTTGGACTCGGCCTTTTTGCAGTGGTTATCCTGCTGATTGCATCCATCGTCGCATTCCATCACGTTCGGAAAAGGCGTAACCAAACCAGTTTTCAGCTTTTATCCGGTAGAAGTTCGGTGTCGTCAAATGTCTCACCAGATTTTCTAGAAAGAATGTCCGAGTTAAAGCAGTCCTTAACGAATTTCACCTTGGAGGAACTCAGGGATGCAACTGAGGATTTCAACGAGGGATATAAGGCAGGGAAAGCTGTATATAGAGGCAAAATCGGTAGTTACAAGGTGGCGATCGAGCGGATGAACACGGATGAAGCCACTCGCCGTGTTGTTTACATATTGACCAAAATTAACCACCTAAACATAGTAAAGATCGAAGGTTGCTGCTACGGTACCGATCCGTATCTGGTGTACGAGTTCGCGGAATACGGCAGTTTAAGGGACTGCTTATCGGATGCTAGTGTCGCAAGGCAGCTTACATGGGGGAAAAGAACAACAATTGCTTTCGACGTAGCAGTGGCACTCCATTACATACATTATTGCACGAAGCCATGTTTTATCCATGGAAACATAAATTGTAAGAACGTGCTAATAACGAAGGATTGGAGGGCTAAAATCACAGGTTTTACATCGGCAAAGCCATCAATTTGCAGTAAAGAAGACGGAGAAACGAGCTTCGACGTCGATGTATTCGGATTCGGGGTTGTTTTGATCGAGTTGTTATCAGGTAAACAGGGTGAAGGTGGTGGGGAAGTTTTGAAGGAATTTGTGAATATATTTGCGGATCATGGGATTGAAGGTTGTTCGGAAAAGTTGGAGAAGTTTATGGATCCGAATAATCCATTGGCTGATGCTTTGTGTTTGGCGTTCTTGGCAAAGGCTTGTGTTGAATCGGATCCTCATCATAGACCCACCATGGATAATGTTATAAAGGCTCTCTCAAGATTTTCATGATTACCTTTTTCTTTTGTTTCATTTTCTAGCCAGAACTTATTTTCTGATTTATATTACACCAATATGTCATCGATGGAAACTACAACAAATTAATCTAAATATAATTAGAAGATTCAGTTCATGAAATCCATAAACGCTGTTGACACATTCGTTAGCTCAAACAACATAACCAAGAATTCAAAATGGTTGTACCTCATCCTGAAAGCCGTTTTAGGGATATTTACTTCCTTAATCTTAAGCTAGTAGTACTTCGATCTCAAGTTAATCTTTGAGAACACTCGAACACTCTTTAACTGATCAAACGAGTCATCAATCTTTGAAAGTGGGTACTTATTTTTCGTTGTATTTTGTTGATCTACGAGTAGTCAATACACCACCTCGTCAATTCATATTTCTTTATCAAGGCCGACATTCCCCAAGGTGATATATTAGAGCATATAAAATCTCGGTCAAACAACCATTGCAATTGCATATTCAGTTCTTTGCATTAGCTTCGGGCGTGTCTTAAACTATCATGGATGAATCATTGTCTTATCTTCTCACATCAGATTACGACATAGGCCATTATAGGTGCTTCACTACTTACTACTTGGTTCATTTGCTACGTTTTTCTTGGATTACATACTACACTGCTATACACAATCATCTTTCTTATAAGAAATCTCAATTTTTCCTAGAATGGTACACTCATCCCTTCCTTCCTGACTTAAAAAAATTCTCAGTTTGAAATACAAACACTTCAACACATCAGCCATGGAATTTCCTTATTTTGGAAACTCTTTAGTCCTCGTTCTTTTGCCGTCGCGGAACACCACGCTGAAGGGGTGGTTGATTCTGCTTGGTAGTGTTAAAATGCTAGACATCAAGGATTTAAATAGTTTGGTAGTCAATTGAAGAAGCGTTCAGGCCAGAAAGAGAGAGAATGGAGCGAGCCTTGGGACAATTCTTAAGAGCGTGGATGTTGGTTTCTACTTCAAGGTTACACATGGGACAAGTATCAGCTCCCAGAGAAGCTGCAGCAAGCTTTGTCCCCGTTGGCAAAGCACTGTAACAAGTTCTCCTGTTAATGAATTGAGTTTGATATTGGAAATAAAATAGTAGGTTGCAACTGGAAATAAGATATTAGGTTGCAACCGGAAATGAGAAATTAGGTTGCAATTGAGAATTTAGGTTGCAACCGGAAATGAGAAATTAGGTTGCAATTGAGAATTTAGGTTGCAACCGGTTTTGTCTTGTATGTCAGTTGTAATGATGTCTATTAGCTGTTTTTGAGTCTGTTTTAAGTGTTTCTTTTACACTAATGTTTGACAGCTGCACATTTCAGATTATTATGTTTTGTAATCTTATTAAATGAAATTGTTAGAATGATAAGAGTATAGTCCAAACCTCTCCATCCTTGTTTTAGACTATTTGCATTTTCTTCTATTTTGTTTTTCTGCTCCTCTCCTTTTTGCTTTCAAGCTTGTTTTCTTGGTTTAACATTAACAGTGGTAATCAGAGTTATTTCTTAAGGGTTGTGAGGTTCTATTGCTATTTGTGGGTCATTAAAACACTTCGAGAGTTTGTGTTTTTTTAGTGTTTTAAAACACTCATTACCATGTTCCTATTTTTACAGGAACTCATTACCATGTTTGGGAAGTTAAGATAAAAGTCTATTTAAGATCTCTTGGCTTGTGGAAGGTTGTAGAAACTAATGAAGATCCACCAGCATTGAGACCAAATCCCACTCTTGCTCAACTCAAAGCTTATGATGAAGAAATGTTGAAAAAGGATAAAGCTTTAATGTGTATTCACTTCGGGCTAGCAGACCACATTTTCACTAGCATTATGGATCTTGAAACACCCAAGAGTGTTTGGGATAAACTTAAGAAAACTTATGAAGGAGGTGATAGAGTAATGAAAACAAAGTTCTTGACTCTAAAGAGAGAATTTTCTATGCTGCAAATGAAGGAGGATGAGTTAATCAAAGATTTTTCAATGAAGTTGATGGACATTATAAATTAAATCCGTCTTTATGGTGAAGATTTACCGAATGAAAAGGTGGTGGAGAAAGTCATGATCAGTGTTCCTCAAAGGTTCGAAGCAAAAATTTCAGCTATTGAGGAATCTTTTGACATGTCAAAATTGACCATTGTTGATCTTGTTAGTAAGTTAGAAGCACAAGAACAAAGAGTTTATGCGAGCTCATGAGTCAAGTGAAGGTGCTTTTCTTGCCGCTCATAAAGGAGTAAAGTTTAACAATTCTGGGAAGAAATCTTAAAGTTCGAACAAGGGTAAGGCCTTTGTTTCCTCTGCCGGTCAGAATGGAAAATTTCCGCCATGTCCTATTTGTAAGAAGACAAATCATGCTGAAAAGGATTGCCGATTCAAGGATAAGGGCAAGACCAAATTTCAGTGTACCTTTTATGATAGGCTTGACCACACTGAAAAATTTTGATGGACTATAAAGAAGCAGCCTTAACAGAAAGCATATGTCACTGAAGAGAACCAAGAGCAAGGCGAGCACTTATTCATGGTTTCTCATGTTGATGAACCAGCTCACAATTCCATTTGGCTTGTGGATAGTGGATGCACTAGTCATACGGCACCTATGGCAGCATACTTCAATTCACTTTATCAGTCTTTCAAGACAAGTGTGAAGTTGGGAAATGGTGTTACGGTTCAAGTTCAAGGCAAGGGTTCAATTTGTGTCAATACTCCTCAAGGTAAACAAACTATTCACAATGTTCTTTTTATTCCTAATTTAGATCAAAGCTTGTCGAGTATTCCTCAAATGATTAAAAATGGATGTAGTGTTCAGTTTAAGGGTGATGTCTGCAACATATTTGATGGTTTTAGTTCGAAGTTTGCTGAGTTGAAAATGAAGAATAATAGTTTCTATTTGAAGCTTGATGTTGTTTGTGAACATGTTTACTTAGCAAAGGATGAAGTTAGTCCTCTTTGGTATAAAAGGATGGGCCATTTTAATCTAAGAACCTTGAAGTACATGCAGTCGAATGGCTTTATAACTAACTTGCTTAAGATGAATATTGATGATGATAAATGTGAAACTTGTCAATTTGGAAAGTCACATAGGCTGTCATTTTCTCATGATGGTGTGCAGAGAGCAAGTATGAAATTAGAGAATTCACTTTGATTTGTGTGGTCCAATGAAGACTTCTTATTTAAATGGCAGCAAGTATTTTGTGTTGTTTATAAATGATTTGACAAGAATATGCTGGGTTTATTTCTTGAAGTCTAAGTTTAATGTATTGTAAACGTTCAAAGAATTCAAGAAATTTGTTGAAAATCAAAATGATTGCAGGTTGAAGGTCTTAAGAACAGATAATGGTGGAGAATATGTGTCTAAGGAGTTCAAAATTTTTTGCAAAAACTGGGATTCATTATCATCTCACTGTTCCTCACACTCCTCAATATAATGGAGTTTGTGAAAGGATGAATAGAATTGTTTTGAATATGTTAAGATGCATGTTGTTTGAAAAACATCTTCCCAAATCTTTTTGGACAGAGGTTGTTTGGTACTTCTATGTATTTGTTGAACAGGTTAGCAACCAAGGCTGTGAATGAGAAAACTCCTTTTGAAGCATGGTTTGGGTCTAAACCATCTGTAGAACACCTTAAAGTGTTTGGTTCAATATGCTTTAGCCATATACCTACCAATATGAGGTCCAAGTTAGATGAGAGGGCTTGGAAAGGAATTTTTATTGGTTATTCTTCTCAATCCAAGGAGTATAGAGTCTTCAATTTGGAAAGCAAGAAAGTTATAGTAACTAGAGATGTCACTTTTGATGAAGGTTCTTATTGGAATTGGGAGAAGAATGATGTGCAGAAACATGATACACCTATGACTGAAGAAGTTGTTACAACTGATATATTGAGAATGATGAAACTAATGATGATTTCGATACAACATATATGACTGACGCTGAGGCTATCAAAACTAAATCCTTAGTTGATGTGTATAAAAGGTGCAATTTTATCTTTGTTGAACCAACAAGTTTTATTGAAGCTTCAAAGGTACCTGAATGAATTAATGCAATGAAGGCAAAATTTTCTATAATTGAGAAGAATGGTACATGGTTCTTGACTGATCGAGCTAACGACAATAATGTTATAGGTGTAAAGTGGGTGTATAAGACTAAGTACAATCTGGATGGCACTGTGTTCAAGCATAAGGCAAGGTTGGTTGTAAAGGGGTATGCACAGATAGATGGAGTTGACTACGGTGACACATTTGCACTTGTTGCTAGAATCGATACCATAAGATTACTCATTGCCATTGCAGGTCAATTGGGCTGAAATGTGTTTCATTCGGATGTAAAGTCTGCCTTCTTGAATGGAGAGCTTGAAGAAGACATATATGTGAGTCAACCTGAAGGTTTTGTAGTTACTAGAAATGAGCATCAAGTGTACAAGCTCAAGAAAGCTCGTTATGGCCTAAAACAAGCACCAAGGGCTTGGTATTATCGAATTTATTCTTATTTGTGGAAGTTGGGTTTTCAATGGAGCGCTAATAAAGCTACTTTGTATCTTAAGAAAGATGAGAATGTTGATTTACTTGTTTTTTCTCTTTATGTTGATGATTTGTTGGTGATGGGAAGCAATGACAAAGTTGTTTCAGAATTCAAATTGAGTATACAAAAGGAATTCGAGATGTCTAATCTTGGTTTGATGAGCTACTTTCTTGGGATGGAAATTAATGAAAGCAAGGCATGTATTTTCATTTCACATCAAAAATATACCTTAGATATTCTAAGGAAATTTAAACTGGAATCTTGGAAGGGTGTTGATTCACTGTCACCTTTAAACTTAATGCTATCAACAAACGACGATGAGAAACTTTGTGATTCTTTTATTTTCAGAAGCATAGTTGGAAGCATACTTTATTTGATTGCAACAAGACCATATTTAATGTTCCCTTCAACATTGTTATCTAGATTCCTGAGTTCACCAACTGATGTTCATTTGGGTGTTGCTAAAAAAGTTCTTAGGTATGTGAC